TGTTCAATATCAAAAAAGTTTATGGGGCATTTTTCCCAAGCAGGAAACCAAATTTCACAGTTCCACGCTGTTCTCTTAAACCAGCCATCACAAAAAAATGAGGTTCGGGTGATATGGCTTTTATGAAAAAATTCCCTGTGACCAGAGAACTTTCCCAGGTGATGGCACTGGGGGCACTAATTCAGAGTGAGTTGCTCAATGCTTGCCCAGCAGGCAAAATGGGTACTATAAAAGCTCTGTTCTGCCTAAGGCAATTCTGGTTTGTTTGTTTGTTTGTTTGTTTGTTTAGAGGGTGGGAACCCCCTTGTATACTGCCTCCCATGTGATTGTTGGGAATTTTGTTGCAGGTTGTTAATAAATCCTCCTCCAGTCTTGATGCCCCAATCTTATTTACATGGTTCAGTTTCTTGGAATATTTACTCACTTAGATTGAATAAGTAAGGTGACAATATAGAATTCTGCTGCACACTTTTAAATCCGACTTAGCCTCTTGTTTGTTCCAACAACCGCCTCTTGATCGATGTTAAGGTGTTATAGGCGCACAATGAAGTCTTCTAGAATTTGTTCTTTTAACATTATCCATAATTTGTGATTAGCCATGTAGTTGAATACCTTTTCCCAGTTGATAAACAAGCAAGCACGTATAGGGACTTTATAATTATCTTTTCGCCTCTAACCCTAGCTCTTTTAACATCTTAAACTATGTATTAGATCAACAATATATGTGTTTCATACTAGATGGCAATAGCTCAGGACTATTTCTTAATAGAAAAAATAAATAAATAAAAAGATTCACTCTCCCTAGACGCGGTTCCAGGTCATCCTTGGTGCCCAAAGGAACCATCCTTGGTTTTCCAAAGGAAAATCTTTTCGGATTTTAGATTTTGAAAAATCTCTAGACAGTGCCCCTTGGTTGAACAAAGGAACTCACTGCAGTAAAGGACATTGTTAATGCAGTAATGCAAATGACGTACACTTGGCTCTGCTCCCCTCTGCCTGATGCTCTGACATCACTTACATCAGGACTGCGCAAAATAACAAAAATCTTCATAACTTGGGGAACAAAAAATTATGATAAATGGTCAAGAATCAAAGTTGTCAAGGAGTTCATACTATTTGGATCAAAAACCAACAGCCATTGTAACAGAAGTCAAGAAATCAAATGTGTTGCTTTGGGCATAACTGCAACAAAAAAACTTTTTTAAATCTTAAAAAGCAAACATATCATTTTGAGGAATAAGGTGCACATGATCAAAGCCCTGGCATTTTCCATAGTTCAATCATTTCAAAATTGTTCAAACGTTTCCATAGTTCAATCTCTTCAATATTGTTTTTTTTAAAATAATTTTATTGGGGGCTTGAACAACTCTTATTATAATCCATCAATCCATCCATTGTGTCAAGCACATTTATACATTTGTTGCCATCATCATTTTTAATCACCTCAAATGCATGTCAAAGTTGGACATTTAATAGGAAGACCAAAAAAGAATCGATGTTTTTGAATTATGGTGCTGGTGAAGAATACTGAAAGTATCGAGAACTGCCAAAAGAACAAAGACAGTTGTCTTGGAATAAGCACACAGCCAGAACGATCCTTAAAGGCAAGAAAGGAGAGACTTCATCTAATATACTTTGGACATGCCAGGAGAAACCAAAGCCTGGAGAAGGGCATCATGCTTGGAAAAGTAAAGAGGCAGCAAAAAAAGAGGACCCTCGACAAGATGGATCGACACATGGCTGCAACAATGGGCTCAAACATAAGACCAACTGTGAGGATGGCACAGTACCATGCAGTGTTTCTTTCTGCTGTACCTAGGGTTGAAATGAGTCAGAGCAGATTCCATGCCATCTAACAACCACAACACGTTAATGGGGCAGGGTATACACCACAGGATTACCTGTATCTCAAATCAATTCTTTTGAGATATAAAAAGGATATAAGTAAGTAAGTAAGATATAAGTAAGCAAGCATAGATCAAAGAGACTAACTCCAAGAAAAAAATAGCTGGAAGCAGACGGGTCCAAGGATCACCGTGCTGTGAATCTCACAGGCTCAGGGGAAGAGTGATGCCAAGACACAAGATCTCCTTCAAGGAACGCCATGTCCAGAGAAAGAAGAGCCAATAGAGCAGCGGTTTTCAACCTGTGGGTCGTGATCCCATTTGGGGGTCAAAGGACCTTTTCACAGGGGTCACCCAATTCATAACAGTAGCAAAATTACGGTTATTAAGTAGCAACAAAAATAATTTTATGGTTGGGGGTCACCACAACATGAGAAACTGTATTAAAGGGTCGCAGCATTAGGAAGGTTGAGATCCACTGCAATAGGGAAAATCTTCCCCTATGTTAGAATGGGAATAAAAGGAAAGTGGACCCAGAGCATGGGTTTTAATTAACAGGTTTTATTAGAGTTAATGACCTGCCCAGGTGTTTAGAATGGAATGAGAGTAAAGTGGGCAGGGTGAGGGGAAATTGGAAGACAGAGTAAAGAGAGAATAGCTGAAAGTAAGAAAGGGAGAACTGGAGAGAAAAAGAGACAGAGGGACAGACATGCGCCACACAAGAAGGTGAAGAACGAGAAAGAGGGAGAGAGAGCTACAGGTATTTCAGAGAGCCCGCAGGGCAAGAAGAACAGCAAGAGAGAGAATAAATGCTGCTCTGCAGTATTTAAGTCTTTGGAATGTCTATAAATACTTCATACAGGAGGGTTCCTGATCGTGCATCTTTCTGTGTCCCTGGGTGGACACTCACATCTGCAGGCTGTGATGGCAGTGTTTTGCCTCCCTACTCCGTGAGACTGGGAGCAAGGATTTGTTTGTAACCAAGGAGGGGATTAAAACTGGCTGGAATCTGCAGACAGTCGTACTATTGGGCCCTTTACCCTATAGCTGGCTCCCTGAACTCAGACTTCAAGTCTTTTAAACTGTGAGAAAATAAATTTGTTTGTTCAAGCATATTATAAAAACCCCAAAACTTTATTTATACTAATAGGCGATGAACAGGACCTAGCCTTAGGGTCACAGTTTGCTCACCCTTAACCTAGATAAATATTTTCTTAATAACTTCACCTAGCTCTGATTTCACTATTCTACCTCAACTATGTACTAAATTAATTTATGTATGTTTATAAGCTTTTAAGGAGAGCCCTGGTGGCATAGTAGGTTATGTGTTGTAGTAAACAGTTCAATACCACCAGTTGCTCCCCAGGAAAAAGATGAGGCTGTCTTCCCCAATAAAGATTGCAGTCTTTAAAACCCACAAAGACAGGTCTACTCTTTCTTATAGGGTGCCTATGAGTTGGAATTGACTTGATGGCAGTGATGTAGTCATAAGCTTTGAAGGAATTTGAATATGTCAGTCTCCCATTTAGATCAGTATAAACCTCCCATTTACATCAGAGATAAGATCTGGACCCTGCAAGGAGAGGGTTGACGCTGTTATTCTTGTCATAAGCCAAAATAAATATAAGCCTAGCAGTGATATTCTAGATAGTGTGGGTGTGTGTTAAGGGCAAAAAGGCAAGTAAGCCCTAGTACATGCTCACAAAGAACTCAGAGGTTATTAGGAGGGTAACAGTTTATACACACAATCATGATATAATGTGAATTTTGCTAAAACAGAAATTTGCTTTCTAAAGTGTTCTGGGAAAACAGGAAGGAAGGATTAACTTTTCCTGGATATTTGAGAAAAACTGCAACAGAGGTGCTAAGATTTAGCTAAGACTGTCAGAAGAAAGAACAAGTATTCTATGCAAAGTGAATAAAGGACAAAGGTACTAAAATAAGGAAATGGTCTGCTTGTTTAGACAACAGTCAGCAGTTGGAAAGAAGTAAAGGTAAATTAGAGAGGAATAACAAAGCTTAGATGAGATAAGGCTAAAATAATAGGAAGTAACTTGGGAATGGCCTTGTTCGCTATAACAATGCTTTACTTATAACTGGGATTCTGGTATGTAGTAGTTAGATAATCTGTTGTCAATTTGAGTATTATGAGTGAAGGGGTGGAATTTAGCTTGTTAATCAGGTCGGATCTTGATGACCTCATTTGGAGAGGCTAAGGACATAACTCGCTGGAGGCAGGGGAGAGACTCCCTTGGAGACTCTACTGACAAGGCTCACGTCCTGTGAGACATTTCAGCTGACAAGACACTTGGAGCTTTGCAAGTGCCCTGAGCTGAAAGAGCAACGTGAAGACTGGTGCCAGCTTACAACTCCACAGGATCCACAAGACTTCCCACCCACTGGCCTTATAATCTTCCTGCATTCAGCGTCATTGCATGTGTTTTGAGTCTGAGGAGGCCTTTATAGATTGGTATCGGACATATGGGCTAATATCAGACTTATGGACTTGATCTGGACTGGGCTGGAATGTTTTCTCAATATTCAATTGCTCTTTATATAAAGCTCTTTCTTATACACTTGAGTGTCCATGAATTTGTTTCTCTAGTCTACCCAGACTAACACACTGGTATCACCACAAATTACTGTATACTAGATATTCAATATAAAATTCTGATTTACCTAACCATACCTTACATGTATAAAGGACTTTTAAAATTCAAAAAGACTTATATATATATATATATATATCTAATGCTATACAGCTTACATATTTGCATGTCTAAATTCTGATATTAATGATGAACTTCTGATATAGTAAGGAGAAGATTTAAAGGCAAAATATCTAGGGCTAAATCTTGCATTTAGTATATTATTACCCAAACTTTGATTAACTCTTTTAACCTTCCATTGTTTCTATAAAAGAACAACAGTACCAGTACCTATTTCATAAGGTTATTGTGAAGACTATCAGATAATTATGTGAAGAGCACGTTATAAACTATAAAGAGCTATATAATGACATGCTAGATTTGTTCAAATTGCAGGGTAAATTAGAAATGGTGAGAGTCCTATATGCATTCTAACCAATTTTTGAAACAAACATTCAACAAAGCCTAGTATAAGATGATTGTATCAAGTATAAATATAGGTTCTAACCTTTTTGAACATCTGGTTTTTGCATGATACCATCAGCTATAAAAACAGGCCATCATTCCTCCTTAATAAGATGGAGAAATCTAAAAGCAAAAGACAAAAAGAAATTAGAAATGCAAACTGCTGTAGATCAAAAGAGGCGCGCAGTGAAATTATATTTTTATCAGAGGAAACCAGCAGGCTGGTCACCCAGACAAAGCTTCCCCTGGGCAGCAAATTGGTTAGGTTTCCAATTTCTAATTTACTTCCTTAAGCTTTATAAGTTCAGAACCCTGATTCTTTTAAAAATGGAAAATATTATTGAGGGCAGATTTATAAGTCATAAAATGCTGATATATACTATTGTGTATATCATTGTATATTGTACATATTTATTAGTTTACTGTGAAAAATAAAACTATCATGTAAACTAAAATATTCATTGGCACATGAACAGGACCATCTAACTCTAAAGGTTCATCTACAAAGAAATCCAGAAGACTTCCTGGACACTGGATCCTGAGCAAGGGGTGTTATCTGCCTCTTTTAGAGACTGGCAATCGGTTTCCAGCTAAGGCTAGACTGCAGGCCACACAGTCTCTGTCACAACCAGGGCTCTGAAAGAGTGCTTCTCAGTTTAGTCATTTCCAATGTAGTAAAACCAAAATGGACCCAAATTTGTAAAAAGTCGGTGAACTGGAAAACATAACCAGAATGGGAAAAGTACAGGTCTATGCCCTGCTAGAAACTTAATCTCCCTGTTAGAAAAAAAGTGCAGCATACATGTTGTATAACAGGGGTCCTCAAACTTGTTAAACAGGGGGCCAGTTCACTGTCCCTCAGACCCGTTGGAGGGCCGGACTATAGTTAGAAAAAAAACTATGAACAAATTCCTATGCACACTGCACATATCTTACTTTGAAGTAAAAAATAAAACGGGGCAAAAACACCTGGTGGGCCGGTTAAATGTCCTCAGCGGGCCGCATGTGGCCCACGGGCCGTAGTTTGAGGACCCCTGTTGTATAACAACCAAATCTCTTGACAGGCAAAGTTATAACCGGTGGCGATTTGCTCAAAGATGGCAGTTGACCGCGTGGCTTTGAATGTGTGTCATTGTCCCCAGTCCTGGCAATAAATCAATCACCCATATCAAGCTCCTGAGTCTTCCACTCTTGGCCTTCATGCTGTAATTTCCCCCATTGTGATTATCATTCCTCTTTTACCCAAATTTTAAAACTTCAGGTCTATTCTGGTTTCACTTCATCAGTCATACTAACTAGTTTGAACTGGTTTGAAGCCCTGGTTGCAACTTTGCAACTCTGCTGTTGTGGCATGAAAAGAGCCATAAACAACATGAGTATAGCCATGTTGCAACAAAACTTTAATTTCAACAATAGGCATGGATCAGGCTCACAGGCCATATAGTTTGCCACCCCTGATCTCACTGCATCAAGGTTTGACAGTCTCATGCAACCATGTCATAAGAGAATACAAAAAGCATTACAAGAACTTTCAAGAAATTAAGTCCTTGTGTTACAACATATCATTCCTTTTCAGGGGGGTGGGGTGAGGAGAGGGTGTGTTCTGAATGTAACCTGCTATCAACAGTCTTTATAACTTCCCATTTAGCTTGTTTCCAAGCTATCTACCTACTGATAAACATGCATTTGGGGATGGGGGTAGATGGGGAAACATGATGTTACTAGTTATATCATGTAATTGGATTAGCTTTAGTATGTGATTGCTGCATCTTAAAATGGAAACAAAAGGGTCTAAACCAGTGGTTCTCAACCTGTGGGTTGTGACCCCTTTGGGGGTCGAACAACCCTTTCACAGGGGTCGCCTGGTTCTTAACAGTAACAAAATTACAGTGAGGAAGTAGCAAAGAAAACAATTTTATGGTTGGTGGGGGGTT